CACCAAAGCATGTCTGTTTATCGAGCCAGAGTGCAAGTACAACTACATTCCCATATTCCGTACCTGGCAACAATTGTCCAAGGATTATCGTCGCTAGATCTTTAGATGCCCCGGGGAATGTTACCAGCCTTCAATCTATCGATCAAAAAGCAACGTTAGCGACAAGGGGGTTGTCGGACAGACCAGAGAGACAGCTAACAGCCCCTGCAACTCCCCTAGCATTGGCCCGAATCCACCGGGTTTTCTTTCACGGTTGGTTCCCACCTCATGTATGTAGAAAGTCGAGATGACGATGGACGCTTTCTTACACTGAGCACATGCTCCTGCGGGGCCGTGGCACGGTGAGGCTGGGTGGATCTCTGACGTCTGAAACTTTGGAATCTCGACAGATATCCAATGAAGCAGTAGTTAAAGGTTGCTGTTGTTGTGCCCTAACGGTTCGTCCACAGGAGCCACCGTAATCCTGATGGATATTGGCTTTTCGAAAGAGCTGAGGCCTGACTTGGATAGTTTGGGGATAGTACCCTCGAATAGATCCACAGCATGGACATCAGCTTGCCTTCGGATCTGTTCGTCCCAGTGCAACCGCAACAGACAATTCCCGTTTCTCATGAGCTATGAAGTCGTCAGCGCCAGTGGTTGGATGGTAGGATGGCTGGGCGGCGATTGGTGGTGTCGAGGCTTGATTGAATGGTGGTCAATGTGGATACAGGGTTACTTAAGTGTCAACGCCAACGGTGATCTGCTTCAGGCCAATCATTGGGTCAGACGTCATGCTGAGGACGTCATTCTGCAAAGACCAACCGTACGGATACAGTGCCGAAGTGCTTTATGCCCGCGGGTTCAGTTTAAAAACAACAACCAAGCCATGCGGTGTCGAAACGGAAGATAGATCTTGCACAGACGAACGGACGGGTGGATTTACCGTTTTGGAATGACAGGCAAGGTCACGCCAAAAGCCGATGCGGCCACGGCACATGGATGGCTAGCACCTCACCACGAGACCATGATCTTGATGACGCTCATCAAATAGCCTCCAAAGGACTCGAACACTAACAAATGCCCTAGTGATCCATCAAAAGCCCCTGGGGACGTCTCCACTTAGAGCATGCTGACCACAGAACCGATGGCGGCTCTGGACCACTCAGAGGCTCCTGGCAGTCGCGGAACCTGGCGAGGCATGTTTCCCAGGTGGTGGGCAATCATGCTAGGTGGGTGGAGGACTGCGGAATGCAGTCGGTCATGAGACCCCTCATATACAACGCTAATGGCCATGGCCAAGTTTAGGTTTGTGAAAAGTGCAAGGTGCATCTGATCAACATGAAGGGGGAAAAGGGGTCCCTGATCACTATGGCCAATCATCAAAGTCATCAGAGCAAAGTTGAGGTCCTCACAAGTTGTTTTGACGACCTGGAACCAACCATTGGAGTCTGAAACCAATGAAGCATCGTTACTTAGTATAGCTGATTCTCCAAGTCGCCAAATGGAGGTCAACAAACACGCTTGCGGCTCAATTGATAGACTGGAACTCGGCAAATATTCCTAAAGGCCCGCCACGATTCACCTTGCCAAGTAGGGACTCTCCGTAATATCATAAGGGGACAAAACGTATCGTCAAATTGGGCTGACCGCGGTGACACCGGGAAATGAATCAATGAGGGGTTTTCAATCTCCAATGTCTTGATATATGTACGGTTTCACAGCCAACGAGAAAGCAACGCCACTAAATATGTCAGCATGACTTTGGAGGTGCCTTTTGGTTCCAAACATTGGATATCGAAGTCGTGATATCTCCAATTCTATGTCACCTGACATGCGGATGAGTGGATCTTAAAATTGGACAGGACGACTAGGATGGTTGCCGTCAATTTGAACGTCGTCGATCGAGGCCGATTGGCAAAATCAACGATGAGACGGCTACGGACCGTGACGGCAAAGTACAGAGTTCAAAATAGAAACCAAACCATTGCTGGTAAATTGTCAGCTGGTAGTGAGGTTACTGTTCAGCTAACTATGACCAGCAGTGTCCCAAATTTACATGAACATTGAGGGTTAAAATATAGATATTCGAGACAACGGCAGCAAGGGGCTGTCTTCGCATATGTTGGATTTTCAGACAGCACACAACGCACCCAAATATGGGCATCGTCGCTGGATGTTCGGGAGCCATGCCAGCTGTCAGGATGATATCGAACGTTTGTATGGGGTGTTGCTATATCAGCCCAGTTTTCAGCCTCACTGTTAGCGCTCATAATCGAACTCATGCCTTTTTTCTGGACGTTTTGCTTGACTTGTCAAAGAGACTGGCATCGTCGAGTTAAAACTTAATGACTTAACTCCGAACCCCCTTTTGGCTGACTCTCGTCGATAATAACACGGTATTAGCAGTGTGGTTCACGAGCTTGTTAGTGTCAGTCAACATATTTCAGTATAATCCGTACGTGTTCAGTCATTCGAGCCAGTTGTTATACCAAGTTTCCCCAACGCCCCCTCGCACAACTCAGCCAGGGTTCACCAGCGGCTTTGGTGATCCACGGCACAAACCAGGTAGAGATCCGTGACACCCTACCCTTATGTAAGCCTTGCAAGTGAGATGGTAATTACCCTTTTGATTCACCTGAGCTGCCGTTCAGCCTTACTGGCAGTCGCCGTCTCGTCTGTCGTACGTTTTGCACCGGCGCGTCGAAGCTATAGTACCGTTACATGTCTAGTGTAAATCGTTGTCCAAAAAGGCCGCTTTATGTTGGTTGTATCCTCGATGTATTTTAGGTTCTCATAGGTCTTCTTGCCAATGTATGGCAGTAGACATATGGCCAAAATGGTATATCGTTGTTTCACACAAAGCATCCTCAGCATGTTTTGTCCCATGCTGTCTAGAAGCCGAGGAGTTATCAAAGCTTGAAAACAAACCCCTAAACTGCAATTCTATTCCTCAAAGCTAGAGCCATGCAATCTCAAATGGACCTTGACGCTTGAGCATATGAACAGCATGATGAGGCTGGGTTATATGGTCATCACAACAACAAATTGAGGACTGTAATTTGACTTCCATCAGAGAATATCACCAAGCTGACTTTCCCCTTGCAAGAAGTGAAGCACTTGGAAGCTTGAACTGATGAGCGGAGAGCTACCCCCATCGTCGAGCCGGTGAGCATATCAAAGTACTATTGGACAGCATGCGGTACAGACTCGTTAGATACTCTGTTAGTCTATGACAGTATCTAAAGAGCCCGAGACCTCCTTAAGATATCCTGGAAGAATGAATTCATGCTGCCCCGTTCAAAGCATCGTTGAGTCCTTCTCGTGCTGACATATCCTTCTCCTACGCCAGCCCATGGTTTCTGTCGTCAAATTACTGCCTACGAAGCAAACTCAATACTCCGTCCCGGATATATTTCGCCATGTATGAAGTCTCCCGTAAGCCTATTGGATGTTTATCGCCGGTCTCACTCACATACAGGCGTTACTGTTATATCGCCACCGGGGCAAATTGTAGAGCGTGGCTGGAGTTGGCAAGCGTTATTTTATTTCATTGCCAGAGGCTTCCATTGCTCGGTAATGCGCGGTTGACATGGTGTGCAGTATGGCCCTAGTATATGTTCGAATGCAGGCAGTGATGCTGCTTGTCATATGTGACTGCAAACCGGGGCTTTACCCAGGTTCCCCGGTTCTAAAGTTTTCTTATAGAGTATGTACCCATGATCTGACAAATATAAAGGAGAAGTCTCTCGCATTTTTATATCTGCCAGGGCTTCTTTATTCTATACTACATAGACGAATGATGAGGATATGATGACTCTGGTTGGAGATCAATGTGCATATCTGCTGCTGTAATAAATGGTCTATTGATTGATTACCAGTCATGAAGCAATACTCATCACATGGCCGTCCGTAAGCATATGTACCCCCCAAGAAAGATAACTCAACCAGCCAAAGGGCACACTCATCTCATCAGTCCTACGGTAACAGCTCACGGCCCCCCAGACCCCTGTGCACACGCTTCCCTATCCAGCGACGTGCATCTTCTTGATCCAAACCCTGGCCATTCTCCAGGTACAAGGCATCGGGAGACCACAGCGTTGTATTTGCACGACCGTAATCCTTGAGATTTTATCCTTATTTGACTTGAATGTGTATGTATGTAACATAGCATGAGCATGTGCCCTAACCTGGACTGCTCTGAGGTGAGTCCTGCCAACGCAACATGTTTGGATGAAGTATCAAGCCTGGGATATCGAACCACGCCTGAATTGACGCAGTGTTTTGGTCATGTTCAGCTGGCGTACGAAGACCTCTATTAGTTTTTAGCTATTCAGGAGTGTCTGAGGTATTAACACGATGCAACCGTTGCAAGCAATAGAATTAGAGCTTTTTCTTAAATTGGTTCATTTGGCCCTAGCCCACGGCTGTGCGGGTATCAGGACAGACTTTGGCTGCTACAGGCTGGTAATACTGTCGACGTGCTTAGGTAGTGAGGTAAACTTCCGACGAGAATATGTCCGATCTGACAAATAAAGTCCCGAGGCTTGCCATGTCACATTGGTGTAGTTGAGGCTACCCTACATGCTAGGATATGAATATCCGTCTCTTATGATGAGCTCGTCTCACGTTACGTATAGCTAGCGACATAGCATTCTATAGCAACAACCCATAACCGCGACGAAGCAAAGGACTCATGGTGCCGATCAATGCTACATAGATTTCTTAGCCTCCCTTTGAGCCGAGAAATGAAAGAATTGTGAAGTTAGGGCCTCTTTCATCGACTTGAGCTGATAAACCGAGCTGCATGTTGAAAGAAGCAAGCAAACATGCCTATCAAACATAACTTGTCAACACCAAGTGCCTGATCATTAAACACATCGTGATCAGTATGTTGGGCCCCGAGGCGCCACACTGATGGTGACGTGGGAGTGTTACTTGCTGAGAAGACAACAGGCAAGAAGCAGTCGGTATCTCTTAGCCAAACATGTGAACTCGTCCAGGCGGCAAGATTTAAAAGACTAGTCTTCATCGTTGACTTTGTCAGCAACCATATCCTTGGCAGTGTTGATAACCTTCTCAGGAGGTCGTTCGACATGCTCAGCAGGAGTCCCAATGCCACTCGGGATAGGGGACAGTTGAGCGCTCACAACTCCGCTGCTAGGAACCGGAATTTTGATATCTTGAGGTGATCCAGGTACGATCTGGGGATCCAGGCCAGGAATATGTATACGTTTAGCCTCATTCTGGTATGCTGCTGGGATGATCTCGATGATCTCGTCGCGTGGAAAATTGATGACTGGGATGTCAGTGGTAGAGCAGTGCATTAAATAAGCGTAGAGAACTCGAAGCACCGATTCGTGGGCAATAATAAGAAGGTCGTGCTGTTCTCGCTCGAGTTCGAGAATGATGGGCTCCAGGCGAACAGCCAGATCATGGTATGACTATCGATAATTAGCATTGAGAAGATGGCTTATTTCACCCACCCGTAGTTGAAGCATACCTCTGCACGCGGATATCGGTGGTGGTAAGGGTCTAATTCGTGCTTTTCGACCTCATCGGGGTAGATCTGGCGAATCATACGCTCCGACATCTTCTCGCAAACGCCTGGGTTGATTTGACTGAGTTGTGTTCGCTGACGGACCTTGTAGCCTTTCTCCTTTAGGACGTCAGAAGTTTGCACCGTACGCATACGAGTCGATGTCCAAACGGTGAGTGGCGGTAGAGGCACATCTGGACCCCCTTCTTCGATGTTTGTCAGACGTTCCTGCTCTCGATGCTTCAAAAGAGCCTCGGACATTTTTTGGGCATAATCTCTCCCTTCTTGAGACAGAGGGGCATCGGCCTTGTACGAGTCTTCTTCTGCCGTAGTACCAGCCCGGGCAAAGAAGGTTTTCCGTGATTTGATGTGCAGGTTGGTGAGGTAGAAGACGATTCGGTGAGCAAGATAATTGAAGCTGACGTTGTTGTAGAAGAACTTTTCCCCGGCATTTATCATCTTGATGTAGTTCAATTCCTTCTCATTCATGGTTTCAAATACGGGAATCTTCATCTCAATTCTCTGAAGGTATAGCTTAGCGGCTTCATCAGGTTCCATACCAGCGAACTGCAGTCAACATTCAGCATTGGTCATAATTGGATCAGGCAGATGGTATGTACTCACGTCTGGGGACGAGATCTTGACATTTCTTGCATTCTCACGAAGGATGCGTTCATCATCGACAAAGGACTCGATGAAAAGAGTCTGCTGCGTCAGCGATTGCTGAGACCCGACAAGATGGGTGGTGACTTACTTGAACATCGTGCTTCGCAAATTCCTTGGCTAGCGAACGCCGTCCATTAGCAGTAGGGTTTACGGCATCGTAAATGGCGACCTGGCCGTTGTCGTGATTCAGCCAGGAGTATATGTCTTCACGACATTTCTTCAGGATTTTCTGGCGCAGAATGACAGATGCAGGCGATGCGTTCGGGAAGAAATAATCATCGGGAATAGATCCATCGGGGCCAACAGTTGCTCGACGGTAGTCGCCGAGATGAAAGATACGAGACTTCACACCAAGCCACCCCAAATAACGTGCCATGGAAACGCATATATGTCTGGAAGGTTGTTAACTTGGACCAGGCACAGAATCATTAAACCTACGTTTTCCCACGTGCAGGTGGTCCAACCATGACAATTGCGATGCGGCCAGAGTGAAACAATCGGCCAGACATGGTGCTGTATAGTTGAGCCGGGGCCAAGTCTTGACCATGAGGAATATCATGAATGGCATCAATAAATGTAGAGCTCTTGCGACGGTACCGAGGGGCATTGGCCGCAATCTCGGCGGTTCTGTCAACATCAGCTTCATCGCTTAATAAATAACGAAAAAGACATCTGTCTTTGGCCAAGGTTCGAAGAAAGACGGGGATCGACATAAAGCGACACTCCAAATCACAGGGTTCCGTGAACTAGGAATGAAGAGGGTACCGACTTGCAGTTGAAAGACGACGAAATTACCTAGGTATCTAGACACGGGGAGGAACGAGGTGAAGAGAAGAGATGAGAAAGGATAGCAACATACAAAAGAGTATCCATCTTGTCTCTCGTCGGCGATGCCTATACACGATGCTTGTGTGGCAAGATTTTTGAGAGAAAAGACGAATTCGAGAAACCGAAGACTCTGAGGCTCAGCCAAAACGGACAGTTGGCGGTAATTTGGGAGTATAGAGACAGTTCAGGCTTTCGTTGGGTTCAAATAAACACAGTTCTATTCGCGGTAGAGCGACAAAAGGAGGACTGCCGCGCCTTGTTTTTGGCGAAGCCCTCAAGAGCCTCGATCGTTGAGTGTGATGGATCTTCAACAAGGGTGAGCCTCAAGAAACAATTAGTGGCAGAAGCCGGTCTTTGCCGGCGGGGTCAATATTTAAAAGCGAACAGGCCGGTCGTCTGATGCTACTACGATGGAGCCTTGGGTTGATCAGAAGGAAATTTCGCGTTTGAAGTGAACACGATAGAGAACACCTAAGTGAACATTGGGAACGAGGAGCAGAAAGTAGCAATCGGTTGGTGTTGAAGAATAGTAGTTATGCCACAGGGAGGGAGCTGGAGATCAGGTGCAGGTACTCTCCGAAGTATCTATACCCACAAGGAGGGGACGTCATATCTCAGATATGCGTTGTAAAGAATGCAAGGCGAACCCTAAATCCCTGAGATATAAACCCGCCGGAAAGTATACAGTACATTGCACTACCAGAATAACGATAACTCCGCTTCTGGCGAAGCCTACCTGATACACAGTGAACAACTGGGATGCTTCTGTAGGTACTTTACTTTGATTTATCCCCCTCCAGCTGTAGGGTACCTTATCCTTGGGCGTTAGGTTGTACTAGCCACAATCTCTCGGGATGGACAGTTGGAGACGCCACAGCCGACTCGGCATCATAGGTGGCTCGTGCTCCCCACCCAAGAGCTGTCCAAGCCAGATGAAAATTATTCTCCATCTCCATCCAACTGCGCTCGTCATCACGATCCTGGCGTTCAGAGGCCTCGGCATTCAATCGCTTTCGAGGGTATTTTAACAACTCCTTCTACTTCACTAATTTCGCATCACCGAATTTCGCTCCGGCTGGCTGATCGTCCACCGTCGCTGTCCACTATCTCTTTGTTCGCACCTCTTCCGACCTCTTCCCGTCCTCGCTTCGGCGCACCTCAGTCACAATGGCCTCCGCAGCCGCATTGGATCCCGTCAAGACGGCCCTGCTTTCCAATCCCATCGCTAGCGTTTTAGGAGATGCCCTCAACTCGTTTAACGAGCGAAGGGCCAAATTAGGCCTTTCCAACCCAGGAACTATCGAGAGTCTTGCCAAGGAAGTTCAGCGCGATGTCTTCCTCAACAATTACATGTTCACCGGAATGCGTGCCGATCTCACAAAGATCTTTAGCATGGCTCCTCTCTTCCAGGTTTCCCACCAATTCGCCATGGGAGAGCGCATTAACCCCTACACATTTGCTGCGATGTACGGAACAGGCAAGGTAAATACCATGAGCCACGGTATTTCTGCATAGTAGGTCGCTGATTCATCAACAGGTCTTCTGCCAAGGTAATCTGGATAACGAGGGTTCTCTCTCTGGTCGATTCAACTGGAGATGGTCCGACAAGTTTGTATCCAAGTCTCAGATCTCCATTTCTCCCGGTGGTCAGGATATGGCGCAGTTCGAACACGAGTATACTGGCAACGATTTCAGCGCATCCCTCAAGATGCTGAACCCTTCTTACCTTGAGGGTGGTGTGACTGGCATCTATATCGGAAGCTACCTCCAGTCTGTTACTCCTAAACTCGCCCTAGGTCTTGAAACTCTCTGGCAGCGACCTGCCCTTACCCAAGGCCCCGAGTGCGCTGTCTCTTATGCTGCCCGTTACAAGTCCGCAGACTGGATCGCTACAGCTCAGCTCCAGGCTGCTATGGGCACCCTCAACACCTCCTACTGGCGACGACTCTCGGACAAGGTTCAGGCCGGTGTTGATTTGAGCCTCGGCCTCGTTCCGTCTGCAGGTGGTCTCATGGGTGGTGGCCTTCAGAAGGAGGGCGTCACCACTATTGGTGCCAAGTACGATTTCCGCATGTCTACTTTCCGGGCTCAGGTGGACTCCAAGGGCAAGCTTAGCTGCGTTCTGGAAAAGCGTGTTGCACCACCCGTTATGATGACATTTGCTGCTGACATTGATCACTTCACGGTTTGTGCCCTAATTCCCATCCATTCGACCATGTACTGACAATCACTCTAGCATCAAGCCAAGATTGGGTTGGGTGTCTCAATTGAGGCAGCCCCTGAGGAGCTCCAAGAACAACAGGAGTCTCTTGGCTCCCAGCCTCCCCCTAACATTCCCTTTTAAGCTCCGAGCTTAAACTCCTCTAAAATCCGCGACGACGCGGCACTCCCCGCTCAAATGAGTGATATATCTTAATGATCGCTCAGCTGTGAGCAGGCCAGGACGAAGTTTCGACCTCACCCCAAACCCTTCTCACCACACTCGATGTCTTATTAGTCGTCCTTTTCGTCTCTGGTGATATCATGACTTCCCAGCCCGAGGGAGGTGGCCTGGCCAGCACTAGGCCCCGATCCAACCCCTATGTGCTTGGAAGTTGAGTATCTGTGTATATTATTGTCGTGGACTTGCATCGTCCTGGTCATGCGTATGAATTTCCTGCAACGCACATTACGGAGGGACGAACAGTCAGTCATCGCACTGTTCTTGTTTTTAAATAGTTTTGAACGAACTCCTCATCTCGGCGCTCATGGCGGCTGCGGTTGTTTTAGTTCGACGTGTTGATGGGTCTGGATGAGCTGGTGAATATCAGGGCAAGCTACGAAGAGATGGCCTCCCTGCTCATGTATATGTGTACAAGGAAATAGACAAACTTGAAGCTACGTCTTTCGCCTTCTCATGGGTTATATGCAAGGAATGGTCATGGATTTGTTTGACTGCTTTTCGCACAATGTCCTTCAGCACAAATGGTAGACGTTATCACGGGATATTTGTCACCTGAAAGCATTTTGAGGCTCTGAAATTAAATGATGAAGTCTTTTCTTGCCATTAGCGTGCGGTATCACCTCCGATTCTTGTGCTCATTATCTCATATGCGTGTATCATGTTCGAAGTACCCCCCAAACTTCGAAAATTAGCCTTGCGACAACAAATTGTCACAACCGCCCAAAAACGCCTTGCTAATTACCAAAGTTCTGTTCACTTTTTTCTTTCGCAAAACCAATACGGGAAAAAAAAGGAGGTCTTCATAGGGCACCAACATCACAAAACCATCTCTGCGTAACCTGCTGTCCAACGTCATACTAACAACAAAGTCGCTGCGTCACCCCATCCCTGTTCATCTGTTTAATCCCGTGCCAGTTCCTCCTTGTAAATCGAGACTCCTATAGCTATGCATGTCCAAACATCAGAACGGTCGTAAGTATGTGAAGTATAATCTGATTGCATTCTCTCTCTCGTAACGTGGTTATCGGGATGACATAACAGGATGACTGCTACATCACTGTACATTCTCGTTCAGGTTGGTCGCCGCTCTTATTCTTTACTTTGTCTTTGGACTTGACCCTCTTATGTCCATGTTTATGACCATGGTGACGATGGTGATGTTCGGGCTCTGGTTCGGCGAGTTGCTCTGTTCCATCCACGGCATCCTTTGATTCCTTCGACTCTTTAGATATCTCTGCCGTCAAGACACCCGTGGAGTTGGCAGAAGACATGCCAATGCCATTGGCTTCATCTTTGGGCTCCGTCAAAGGCTCTTTGCTAGGCCGCATGAGACCGCCCAATCTACTCATCGAGAAACTAATGCGATTTTCTCCATTCTGGCTACTGGGCCGACTTCTGTTAACCAATGTGAATCTAGATGCCGCGCGTGATAATCTAGATGCTGTCGATTCTTCGTTGGGCGTGACAGCTGGAGAGTGGGAGTTGGGGGTATGTATGGTCGAATCGGTCCAAATAGCGCTGGGACGCCGCGAGTCTCCAGCTAAAGATCCCGGGTTGCGATCGATATCTTCGCTTCTCCGTGGTCTTTCGCCCTCCATAGAGAGGCGAATACTTGGTGGTTTACTAGACAAAAGTTGTGAGTTTTCCAAGGTCGGTGTACTATCAAAATAGCCTTCCTCCAGACTACCCAATCGGTTGCTTCGTGAAGGAGTAGGAGGCAATTCAATGCTGATTTTCGAATCATTGTAGGAGGGCGGTTCTGTCTCTGTCTCGTCCACAGATGGAGGCGAGACTTCGACCATCGGCATAACCTGATAGAACAGAAGATAAGGCATTTCCTCCTTCAATGCTGACCTGATATCTTCCACATAACTGACTCGGTTTTCGATCTGGAGGTCATCGAATTTAACCCATTGTGCTTCCTCGTAATCCGGTGGTGGGTCGAAATTATGCCGTCTATTGTCTTTCAATAACTTAGGGGCCACCCGGGCGAACGAAACATAATGGCCACTTTGTAGCGAGTCGCCCCGGTGGCAGATGACGGACTGTAGGACGAGCTTATAGTCCGTGTTTAGAACGTTCATATCTTCCTCGGCCTTGGGTTCATCGGCTAGCATGAAATGGGGTAGTCTCAGACTATCGGGAATGTCGATAAAGGTATTGTGACGTTTCGGCTGGCCGGACTCAGTCATGGCGTAACGCTTGAGACAGATGCCAACAACAGGCCTTTGCTCAAAGTTCAATGCGACCTCCGTATTATTTCTGGGCTCACTGCTTGAAAGCGCATGCCAAGCTGAACTATATGTTAATATTCATACTGGGCTCAACGAGGTGGCGCAAACTTACGAATTAGACGAAAAAACTGCCAGGCTGGAATAGTAACTGCTTTCACAACTGTCGAGCCTTTCCTCATAGCCTTTTGAAGCATTGTGACATTGTCTGGGGTAGAGGGGCGACCGTCTTCATCCAACACTACGCGCTGGATAACGCTGGTAGACCTCGTTCGCATGCTTGGCTTGTTCTTCACTATTTCCACAGTCGTGACCTCTCCCTCTGCTTCATCATCAGGAGTGCTCCCGTCCTTGACATTGGGATCTGCTAGCAGAAGAGGAACCCCCTTTTCCGAAGTTGGCGTTATCTCCAACGGTGTATTTACCAAAGGGGATGTTGGTGTTGATGCTTCGCCACGTTCTTCAGTGATGATGCGAATTGTATCCCTATGCTTGAGTGTTGGTGTCTCACTTCGACTCTTCTCTTCTACCCCGAGCTTCTTCCCGTCTTCGCTATCTCGCTTAACGTCTACCTGGGCGTTGAAGTATTCTTCGAGGCAGTCTTCTAATTTCAGACCCTTCTCCTCAGGATCTGGCGGTACAGCCAGATTCAGGAGACGCTCGTAAACAACCTTGTGGTCGTCCTTGTCCTTCTTGCCTTGGTGGAAGAGATCGACTTGCAGTGAAAGTAGAGGCAGCTGTAAAGTTTCTGTTATGAAAGCAAAGGCCTCCGAAGTGTCTTGTTGTTCAAGCATCCGTGCATCCGACCATCCACAGTCAGCCAGAGCGTCCTGTATTAACTTGGTCTGTTCAATGTTAGTTTGAACATCACTGAGATCGTGCCTATGCCACTCACCATATCCGTATGCACTAATTTCCCCGTCCTCAACATATTAACCCACATCCGCAAAAGATTGACAAGTTTGTTGCGATTGTCTTCTTCTGGAAAATCATTCTTGAGCATACACTCGAAAGCATCGATTTTGGCGAACATTGAGAACAGAAGTGCATCAAGATAGCAAGTCACATTGCCACGGTTTTCGGCACCCACCATATCCACGCTGGGATCATATGGAATAATGATACCCGCTGCAGCCTTTTGCTCCATATCGATAAACTCAACTGTCTTATTGGGGTCGTGGTCTGCAAACTTGGTTGCCATGATGTCGGTGACATGGTCGGCGGTGACATTGGTTATGTTGAGCTCGTCTAGTCGGCGTAAAATGTCCTCGATCTAATAGGAGGCAAAGTTAATGACACGATCCTTCATGCTGTGATTCGAGTCGTACTTGTGCGGTATCCTTCTCTTTCTCTGCTTCTGCTTTTGCTCCTTGTTTTGTGCTGTCGTTTTTGAACAAGGCCATGAAAGCCCCAGCGGAGAGTGGTCGAGGCTGGATAGTTGTGTGTCAGAATACTTCATCTTGGACTATAACAAGCTCGTTGCTGGATGCAGTTCCATAGATCACCCATCAAAGAATTCCCATCCAGGCAATAACGTACCTTGTTTTTGTTGCTAGTGCTGTCAGGAACCGTTGGGACAACTGGCGCTGGTGTAGCCGACTTGGATCGCCGGCCATTCTTTTCGCGCTTGCTGAGAAACTTTCTTGGAAACTCCTTCATGGTGTTTGAATAGCAAGGGAGAGACGGATATGTCGATCAAAAGTAAGAGAGGGACTCGTCAGGTTCAACGAGGGAGAAACAAGCCACAAGTCTTCATCATCGGGGGCGCATCCGTTGTTTGGGAAGGGTCGGGAAGTGGCTCGAGTGCGACGCGCGATGGGTGAGATGGAATTGTTCGGTTTACGGCTTTCAAGTGTTCGACAAGAGAAGAAATTGATGGAGGAAGAAAACTCAAAGCAAGTGTTTCAAGCTTCAAGAAGAGAGAGGAGTTTTCAGCTAGTAGGAGCAAGAGAAAAAGCGAGGAAGCTGAAATACATCCTTCAGTTGGAGGGACCTGTGTACTTGAAAAAAAAAGGCCGAGACTGAGTGATCAGCAAGGTAAGTCGGGCATCGGAGCGCAAGTCTCAATGGCCAAACAGCCCACGGGAGCGCTTGTTGAGGGGCTAGAGGGGGTGACCTGAAGGTTATCGTACTAAAATAGAAGGATAGGCACCTAGGTTGATAGTGGCGGGGGTGGGACAGCCTCTGAGGTAAGGGTTAAGGTAACAGTTGTAGGACCCCTGTGCCCTGTCAATCCTGTCACTCCCGTCGGTAAGGTACTTAGTAAGGAGGTTTACTTTTTCTTCCTTGCCTTTTGTCTATGGAACCAAAAAGTGGGCAAAAGGGTTTGTAGCTATTATTCAATTGCCTCGAACAACTAGGTACAGTTCAACATTACACTTCATTGGCTAGTGTGACCGGTTCAACGGCGCTGATATCCTTTCTGTTTTTCCATTCCAGGCCGGTAATCCATGGAGCCGATCCTAGCCAATTTCCGCGCAATAACAAGGACAAAAACGGCGGCCTTGCAGGGCGAGCTAAGCCAACGAGGAAGTTGGCAAATAGGTTATGAAAAAGTCAAGTGATTTACAAATTACTGAAGCCTGGCCAACTCAGCTCTAACATACACACGTGTTATCATGTGTGATGGAACACTCGTCTGTGCATCAGCTTCCCTTCTCCTGATAGACCCTAGGTATTTTGGCCGCAGCATCATTGTACATGTGTAGTAGGTTCTATAATCTTATTCTCTAATCACCTAACCCACTCGATTCTACCTCAGCTAAACTCAGCCAGAACTCTTGTAACACAACAGTTCCACCAAAACACATTTTGTAACAGCTCCAAAAAGGAGATACTCTGTATCATTCGGTGGCTTTGCATTGCCATCGTCACCATGATCGTCATCTTACTGCACTTCGTCACACCGTCAGCCCTTCTATAATCGTCCGTCTGGCTCTATAGACTTTAGGCTGAGATGATGCACTCACATCAGGGCTATAGGCACAACAGAACTGGTGACCTAAGAAAAAGCGGATTATGCAGGCGTGTGAGTATGTCAGGCACAGCTAAATACCTAGGTAGACGCATTCAATCGAAATTGGATCTCTCATTCGTATCTGAATACGTATGCAATTAGTCCCTGCGCCAAATGAACTGAAGGTCCCCCTAGGAAACTGAAGGCTCTTCGGTCTGGTGCTGCGTATTATTAACCACAACCAGACGAGTTCATGGTAGCCCGGGGAGCCTGATCTAGGCATTGCCTGACAATGCCTGTAAATCTTTGATCGTGACGTATAGGTCTTAAAGATTATCAGACCGCTCCTCTGAACATCTACTCCAGCAGTTAGATCGACCACTGTGTCGGATGTTAAGTACCCCATGTTTGTCCGACAACGTATGGTTGTTGATGTTTTCGGGCCGCCCGTTGAAAACCTGGTTCGTTGGGAAAGCCTCCTACCTGTATCTGAACTCGGTCGCCAGATCGGTCCTTGCTCTCGAGAAGGACGGAGATAAACCGGGTCGACGGGACCACGGACATCCCGCGTCCAGCTTTTCGGGTCCGCTGACTCCGCTCCATATTTTGAGGCATCTACCTGAAATACTGAAGTACGTTGTCGGACTGTTGCATAGTCCGAGACCGATAAACGTTGGTGGAAAAAGGAAAAGGACTCGGGCAAAGCGATATCGTCCATTTACTCATGAACAAGACTATTGGTGGCATCGTAATTATGCTCTCTTGGACTACTAATACTAGACCTGGTTTTTAGATCTGGGTAATTGGAGGGGTGATCGGAGTGCTTCGGAAGTGGTGAGATGCTCAGGATTGAGCGATCAGATAATAAAAGCTAGCTCAAAGAGGGCAGGCTCAATTACCAAGCTTACGTATTCAGAGTAAGGTAATTTGTATAGGACGATCTTCTTTTACTTCAAAACATACTTAGGTATGTAGGAAAATGAGAATTAATAGAGAATATGTTGACAATGAAATCCGTAAGGTTGCAACTCTGGCCACAGATCTTGAAATAAGTATTGATATGACGCTTTCGGTAACAGGAGAAGGGGAATCAAAAGGAGCAGGTTTGGATTCAGTAATGAGATTTATCACAAGTCTTAAATAAACATGAATTTACTTAGTTTACCCAGGCATTCCTCAAACGATGTACGGTGTAAGAGCACAGCCACAATTTCAGATAGATACCTCATGTGGCGCAGCCAGCCGCTAGCCGCTTAGATGGAAATTTCCAAATCCACGCGACGACCACACATCTTTTCGACGACGAGGAATTCCAATCTACGAGCCCATGATGACCACGTTACGAGAAGGAGCTCGCATGGCGAGCTCATTGGGACGGAGGCATCTGCCTCTGAGGACAGGTTCCGTTTGTGTGCAGCGCTTTGTCTCGACCGAGACAAAGAAGTCCTCCGCTCTCGCAGATCTTGACAATGCTTCGTCTTTTGCGACAGGTTCTCCCGACGAAGCGGCTATCCAGGCCTTCAATTCTAGAGAGAAAGCTGCAGAGACGGGCAAAAAACTTCCCGGCAATAGGTCCGTAGCCCAATTGCTCCCTTTGACTGAGCTCGAGTTGATTGACTTGCTATAGATACCAATACCATCCTCCCAAATACTACCGTGGTCCTCTACACCCCGTCCAGGTGCCCAAGTCCTCCGATCCGACTGCTCGAGACTTCGTTCCCGGTCCTTTCAGCTTCCCTCGATTAAAGCACACATACGAAAGCACGATTGCGCCAGATCTGATCGCCATGACATATCAGCATACCCCGCCAGGTTCAGAAGTTCCTGTTTCCAACAAGGGTAACTTGAGGGAATGGGACGAGTCTTCGCCTTACCACAAGAATCGACCTCGCCGAGGACCTCGAGGTGGTGGCTCTTCAAGGCTAGGCTTAGTGGAGCGCCCAATTGAATGGCACAACGTACCTGATATCGAGGCTATCACTATCAACTCATTCGCTCCCATGGGTGCCCAGAACAAGGAGTACCTGCACGTGTGCCGTGCTGTTATCCAAGCCATCTCTGGTGCCTTCCCTGAGGTCACAAGAGTCAAGCATGGCGTTGTTCAGTGGGGTGTCAGGAAGGGCGACAAGACTGGCTGCAAAGTGACGCTGAAAGGTGCTCAAGCTTACGACTTCCTTGATAAGCTCATTACTCTGGTCTTGCCTAAGATCAAGGACTGGCCTGGTATTGATGCTACTACTGGCGATAGTGCAGGCAACCTGGCGTTCGGTATGAAGCCCGACTGGATGGCATACTTTCCTGAAATCGAGTTCAACTACGACGTGAGTGCTTATACACTAATCAAGACAAGGGTGAGCTAATCATGAGTAGATGTATCCTGCACGACTGATGCCTGGATGTGATATATTCATCAAGACAACTGGTACATCAGATAGGCAAGGCCGTCTTCTTTTGGAGGCACTCGGCCTTCCCTTCTATGGCAAGGCTAGGCACTAAATTACGGAAGGTGTCGTTGCAAGGCGTTGGAAACAAATGTCAACTCTAAGTAGCTGACATGTAGCATAGATTCATGTACTAAGACGAATGTATCATAAATGAATATTTAAAATTCAGGGCAGATTGCCTATACCATTCTATTTTAGTACCCTCCGGGATCTTCATCTCTCTTGCCCACGCCCTGTGCTTCAGTCCAACGCCCCAACTCCGTCCCAATGCAACCGTTCGTTATGTTTTGATGGTTGATCCCACCAAAGTTTCTCAAGCCTTGCCGATCTTCTCGCGTAATCCGTTGACCACCTCGTCGACAGCCTCCATGCTTGTGGCATCGACCTTGTCAGTCTTGTGACCCCTCTTGGTCAACTCATCGGCAAAGAGGTCCATCGCTGGTTGGTAATTGCGCACCGCTGAGCTCAGCGCATATACAGCCTTGCGACGAACATCGTTATGCTCATCCTCCTGGGTCGCTAGGTTTACAAGTAGCGGAAGCCCTCCCATAGCGAGCAAACGCTCCTGGGTGCGCTCGTTGTTCTGTACAGCGGTTCCCACACACCAGGCTGCCATCTTGCGCATCTCTCGCTCGTCATGCTTGAGCTGGTCGAGTAGTGGGGTCCACAGGCTGAGATTTGCGATATTGTTTGCATTGTCGAGCCCCTCAATAAGTTGCTCAAAGTTGTCAAAGGCAATGAGTTTGTCGTCAAGGGAGACCTGCTCAGCATCGTCCGATGTGATTATGTCCATAGAGGCCCTCATAAGGTCGGCGTCAGAGGGACCGCCCATGAGCGATGCCATGAGTTCTGGTGTGAGTTGTGTGGTGGGAGCTGGGGCTTCAGGGTCATTTCTGGTGGCATCTGATTGCTCAATACTCCATTTGAGGAGTTCGTTAAGCCGCTTGTCATCCATGTCTCCTTATTTTTTAGTGTGTTTCTTGATATGTTGCTTGAGCTGAGTTTGTTGAAGGAGTAAGAACAAAAAACATCAATCTTTTGATATTTGCTTTCAAATTTCAACTTTACCAAGCATATCGATTAGAATTTGCCCATTTCTGGAATCTTCAAGAAGACTCTAGTCCAGAAACGGTCTAGCTCAAGACAGATACAAAGAACACCAATTCTCCATCAACCGACCAATTGTTTTCTGGCAGTTCGATAAGGATACATTGCAGCCCAATCAGTGCCTTATGATGACTTGTACAAGCGTTTGAGTCAAAGAGCATAGTAGTACCAAGCTTCTGCTGGGGATAGACACCGCAATTCAACTGACAGCAGTTCTACGTGGCAGAGATATATTTCATCATAGCTCCCCTCCAGCTCAGCAAAGCTGCCCCACCTTGCAAGGTTGCCCCTCATCGCTGCTTTTGTGGCCGAGACGGGAGAATGAGCTTAAAGCGAGAGCGAAAAAGGCTAAGGAAGGATTCTGTGTAAGATACCACACCAAACAGCATGATTGACCAGAAGGCACTGTGGCTGGTTGAACGCGCGTGTATTGCGTTGCATGACACTTGCAGGAGCCTGGCCGCAAGGCTACCATAATACTGAAGTCTAAATTCCCATGTTCGAACTAATGGAGCCTAGTCAGTGGACGCATTTCGCATCTTCGAGAGGCGCCGGAGATCCCGCTGTTCGTAGGTAAGTAAGCGAAGGCATTCATTCTCACAGCCTGGCTACTGGCCGACTGCTCCCGCTGGTGGGTTTCCCCGGCTGGGCTGGGCAGGGGCGAGATACAGGGGTCTAATTCAGAGTTTAGGAGATCTGTTGATTGTGAAGCCAATATTTGACAGCCTCGTGGTTCAGGGGTGCTCATGAAGCGGTGTTGAAATTAGGCTGCTAATATGAACCACACTCACGATGGCGAACAAGATATGGGACTCGATGGAACATAAACTTGTCTCTCAATACATAGTAACGTTCAGCAGCACATCCTGATTTGTCGAAGAAGTCTCTATAGTGAAGCAGATGATACAGCTGCGTGATATCGAGGAGGTTCTCGCTGCCAACCACAAATCCCTACCCACCCAGGGCAGACCAGTCGGAATGAACGGGTGAGTGCTGTCTCTTCAGTAAACGAAACAGGCCCCAACGCGTATTTGGTATGGTTGGTCAGCAAGAAACTTCTTCGATACAAAAGCTCTCCGAGTAACTCTGCCCTGAACGAGGATGTACATTGCTCGATTAGCCACTTGTGCTAATTATGGAGTGGAACTCGGGACCTGGAAGCTGGGTACCGGTTCCAATCTGCGGAGCATCTGGAGATTTGGCATGGAGATAACAGCCCCTTTTCAGTTACAAAACCCAAGTCTTTGGAAGTCTTGGGATGGTTGTTGGTCGTTCTGGATGATGAGATCCGTAGACATTCCTTTTATGGATGGGCCTCACCCTGGAATGAAGATTGGACAGCATCTCTGAGCTATGTGTGGCTGGGGCTGACTTGAACAGGAGCTATTTGCGTAGACCTTCTTGATGATACAAAGATGCCTAGGATACCTACTAGGCTGGCATGTTATTTGCAAGTCAATGATGTCTAGTAGAATGCCACTCTGAAGAACGAGTCCTCAGCTGAAACGTTCACATACTTCGCCAAGAGAAATAAAAGGAAGCCTCAGAGGCTGCAGCATTAGAAAGTTCCCTAGCTGACGTCTTCGCCAGCTCGCGTGGCGGTGGATGAAGTTCTGCTTACGACGTCACCTTGTATAGAAAGGATAAAGTCAGGACGGTGAAGCGGCCCGTTTTACTCAGTCGGGAGCTGCTTGCAAATGTTCTAGAACTTGACAGAAAATCACAACCTGATCCGAAGGAATCACTAGATATTCTGAGCTTGAATCACGATCACTTGCCTCGATATCAATTCTCCAAGGAATTGGCGATCACGAACCTCTTTTACTGTTGTAGGTAAGCTCTCCACCTCAGCCACCGCTATAACCATTCCACTGCGACCGCTGCTCTGCAACCACTGGGACAAAGTTGCTCTCAGGGCATCCTTCTCTGCACTACGACCACCACGAACCAATCAGTAAAGCGGCAAGCAGCTTGGAAAGACCTGTTTTTCTGGTTGCCCCGCCTCTATTTCCCCCCTAGCAAGAGTGCAGCTCTCGCTCCTGCTCTAGACTGTGCCTCGTCTGCTCAGTTTCCCTACCCAATTCTGGTAGGTGGTCTCTTCAGGTCGCCCCCCCCCCCCCTTGTCCCCAAAGTGTCCACCTCAGCAATTCGGGGCCCGCCCACAACTTTCTTGTGACAGCGTCGCCCGGCGATACTTGTCTCCTTTCCCCCTCCCCCATTCTCCCGCCTCCGTCTCTTTCCCTCTCCCATTCCATTCCAAACTACTTCTCTTCAACTCTTCTAACCCCCGACCTCCGTCTCCTTCTCCATTCAACGTTTCTTTTCCTGTAAGCTTGCTCTTCCACCTACTGATTACTACGTCTTTCGCCTCTCTTCTTTAATAGCTCTTCGTCTTTTCTTCTTTGATTCTTGGCCGCTAATCCCGTTTCTGGACAGCTTTCCATACACACACCGTAATCCACAGCCATGGAGGGTACGTCGCATCATACCGCGTCGCTGCATCGTCGGATCCAAACAATCCGTTTTGAGCATCGCGAAGATCATCTCCAGACTCATGCTGACTTGCATTTCGCTTTATAGAAGAAGTTGCTGCTCTCGTCATCGACAATGGGTAAGCTCCCCCGCCTGTCTCACCGACCTCTGGACAATCTCTCCCCGCCTCTCTGCTCCTGGACCAGATCTGCCACCGCATCGTCCGATGCCCGACACCGGCCTCGACATTGATGCTTGGGAGTGCTTGGTCTTTGAATTGGTGCTGAGCGATCTCAGCATGTCCATGATAGCTAACTTGATATCAGTTCGGGTATGTGCAAGGCCGGTTTCGCCGGTGATGATGCTCCCCGAGCTGTTTTCCGTGAGTACCCCACTTTCTAGCCTCTGCGCCCAAAGAATTGATATCGCATGTCCTGGGCGCAAGTTAATCAGAAACCCAAATCTAACGTTGTAAACAGCTTCCATTGTCGGTCGCCCCCGTCATCATGGGTAAGTTGTAGCTACAGCGGCAATTCTGCTGCCTTCCTGGGGCCGGCCACTGACAAGTTCTCAGTATCATGATTGGTATGGGTCAGAAGGACTCTTATGTTGGTGATGAGGCTCAGTCCAAGCGTGGTATCCTCACTCTGCGATACCCCATTGAGCACGGTGTTGTCACCAACTGGGACGACATGGAGAAGATTTGGCATCACACCTTCTACAACGAACTGCGTGTCGCCCCCGAGGAGCACCCCGTCCTGCTCACCGAGGCTCCCATCAACCCCAAGTCCAACCGTGAGAAGATGACCCAGATTGTCTTCGAGACATTTAACGCCCCAGCTTTCTACGTCTCTATCCAGGCCGTTCTGTCTCTGTACGCCTCCGGTCGTACCACTGGTATCGTTCTGGACTCTGGTGATGGTGTTACTCACGTTGTCCCCATTTATGAGGGTTTCGCCCTCCCCCACGCCATTGCCCGTGTCGACATGGCTGGTCGTGATCTTACCGACTACCTCATGAAGATTCTTGCTGAGCGCGGTTACACTTTCTCCACCACCGCCGAGCGAGAAATCGTCCGTGACATCAAGGAGAAGCTTTGCTACGTCGCTCTCGACTTCGAGCAGGAGATCCAGACTGCCGCCCAGAGCTCCAGCCTGGAGAAGTCCTACGAGCTTCCCGATGGTCAGGTCATTACTATTGGTAACGAGCGATTCCGTGCTCCTGAGGCTCTCTTCCAGCCTTCTGTCCTTGGTCTTGAGAGCGGTGGTATCCACGTCACCACCTTCAACTCGATCATGAAGTGTGATGTCGATGTCCGAAAGGATCTCTACGGTAACATTGTCATGGTAAGTTTCGTGAGAATGAGCTGTCCGAATTGTTCTAACCTTGATTCAGTCTGGTGGTACCACCATGTACCCTGGTCTCTCCGACCGTATGCAGAAGGAGATCACTGCTCTTGCTCCTTCTTCGATGAAGGTCAAGATCATTGCTCCTCCCGAGCGAAAGTACTCCGTCTGGATCGGTGGTTCCATTCTTGCTTCCCTGTCCACTTTCCAGCAAATGTGGATCTCCAAGCAGGAGTACGACGAGAGCGGTCCCTCAATCGTTCACCGCAAGTGCTTCTAAGGTATGTCAAGATCCTGGTGACTGAGAGGCTTCTTGCTAACTTACTAAGCTACCCGACCGACAACACCAAATCCTCCCACTCGCGCAACGACGACAAGATCATGGAGGTGGCGACAGACGCTAAGCTTTGGGTGGTTGGCAAACGTCAAAGTCGACTCTCATATTTACGAAAAGTTTTTGACATGGTCAGAAGGGTGGGCGTTGCGCTTACGAAGAGATGTGATGGCCCCTTTGTTGTAGTTGCGCGTGTAATGCGTGCCTAGGGGTAGAAGCCGAGGTTGACATACAAATACTTTTTTACTTTCCGCTTAGAATTTTTTGAAATGAAACGAGGTGATGACATGATGTCTGGTCCCTTACGTACATTAAGTATGTCCACATACATGGTATCGTAATTAATTCTCACAAGTGCTTCCGGAGAGCATTCATTACGGCGCTTTACTTGTGGTGTCTAGGGGTTGAGAAGTCTGGTAATTGTTTGCGTCGTCTGTGGTTGGATCACGTCCCTCTGCAGAAGCGGGAGTTGTGTCTGACTGCGCTTCAACTTCAGCAGCCGTAGCGGCCCTCTCTTCCTCGAGTTTCTTGTACTTCCTACGACTCTTTTTCGAAGCACTTGCAGCTTTCTTTTGCTTTACCTTGCCGACAATAGCCGATCGACTCTGATCCCCGTTGCGAAGTTCATCAACACGTTGCGCGAGTAATTCACGGGCATGCTTCCGGTTCTGGTCTCTCGAACGGGTTGCCTGAGACTTGACGACGATGCCAGTGGGTATGTGTTTCAGCTGAACTGCGGAATTGGTTTTATTCTAGTGTAACAACTGTGTAAGCTGAAAGAACTTCCGAGGACCGTGATCAATAGCTGGGGAGCTAGAAAAAGAGTATGCGTACAATCTTTTGTCCACCAGGACCGCTGCCTTTGACATAGGACTCTTCGATCTCAGATTCAGGCGGGGGCTTCGGCCGAGGAGGGAGAGCTTTCGCCAGGAAGATAGATGTATTGTGAAAGGTCCGTATTGGAAGTGCTGGGGGAGTGCTGTAGCGGATGGTTCGGAGGAGTTTGAGCGGCGTCATTACGATGCCATTGAATGCAGACATTCAACAAGAACATGAGATGCTTTGTGGCAAGGCCGTGAACTAGAGTCGTAATTCAGGTTATAAGATGAAGATTAAGCACTGTGGTCGATGCTGATTTGGGCTTCCTGTGCCACGAGGGAGCCACAGTCACAGCCACAGCCACGAGCCAGTCGCGTGCGCATCAGCAGCCACAGCGAGATGGTGATTCAGTAAATTAGAAGACCCGCACCCCCTGTAAGTTTCAATACATCGAAGCCTTAGCACTTCCCTGCGGTGCCTCCGGTACCCAATTTTCGGGAGCGTCGGTACGATAAAGGCACAAGGAGCCCAGATAAAGGAGGGCCGGCCTTTCCCTGATCCTTATCCTTATCCTGATCCTGTATTCTCCATTGCTTCAACCTTTTCCCCTGAACCTATCACTTCAAGTCATTCATTTCAGCACACGGCAATTCTACGACGACGGCTACCGATATCTGCGATTCAAACACGTATTTTGACCCTTCAACTCGACACAATGGCCGTTCTTGGATCATTTCGCAAGTGGTTGAGCCTCAAGCAATACCAGCTGGAGGTCACTTTCAGTGTGTACATGTTCACGCCCTGGGAGAAGTTCTTCTTCAGTATGTTATCCGCAATCCCATACGTTTCAAGTTGTCGTCTTCTGAAGACTAATTCACCGCCCTAGGCTCTATTGTTTTTCTGCTCTTCAGCTTGACCTTCATCGCCGCCTGTCTTTACCTCCCGCATCACATTTCTTTCCTCGTCGGTCGCGCCTGGTACTATATCAACGGAGAGCACATTGATGTTGCCGAGGTGGTGCAGGAAGCTGTTAAAGATATGTCTGCGAGCGCGCTGTCCGGGACAACTGCAAGCGTCGTAGATGTTACCAAGGAGACTGTCGAAACGGTTGTGAGAGAACTATAAAATCCAGCACTGGATTGCTCACGCGAAAATTCTGGAAATGCATACATGCTGGACATTGGCACATAAATGGCTTCGTCATGAGGAGGCTCTGCATGAATGAGTCGTAAGAGTCGGTCTTTGGCCAAGGTCCGTGAGAGATGGCTCGAGTTTCATCTGCTATACGATATAATGGATATGGATCTACAAAACTTTAGCCAATAGATGGCTGTAATGATAATACACTTTTACTCAACAATCCTACTGTTGATCCCACTGCTCGGTCTGTACAAAGATGAGCAAACCTCTGCCCTCGGTGTGAAGGAAATTTCTAGTAACTCGTAATCATAACTTTTGGTTCTATGGGTCTGCAGACACCTGAAGATACGCCTGGCTGAAGGCATATACTCTGAGTGAACTATCCTCTCCTGCAACTGCCACTTCAAATGGCCTCTCAGCCCCCTCTCGTACGACAGGACGCCAAGCAAGCTGGTGAATAGCCTTGGGCAAACAGTAACTAGAGGTGATGTTAGCAGTTGGTTCTTTTATATCGGTGGTTTACAAGCACTCACTCCTCACATGCGGGCTTCTCAATGACATCAGTTCCATCCTCCTTGATCAGGCACAGACTTAGTCGGCCAAGCTCTGTGCCAACTGCCAAGATAAATCTACCGTCAATAACCTGAGGGACAAAATCGACCGATGTCACAGGGGATGCAGTCGGGATGGAGGCTGTCTGAGAGAACTGAAGCTTTCCATCTTCGTTTGGCTTGGCGGCCCAAATGCGCACTTGCTTGTCACGGCCAGCAGTTGCGAATACTGACGCCTCAGACGACGCAGGCGCCCACGCTGCGTCAAGTACCATACGTGTGTGACCCTTGGGATTGATCTGCAGCAGCTTGTACGCAGCTTCATCCTCAGGCGCGCGTTCAAAGACCGCCCATTGGCGATCGCGTCCTACACTCAGGAGGAACTGGTCGTCAGAGGAGAATCGAAGGCGGGTGGCTGTTAGAGAGTGTGCGGCCAGAGGCGGCCTGAGCTCAGTCCAACGATTTGTTTCGAATAGTCGAATTACGGCGTGGTTGGTTGAGCTGGCTTTGCATGCACTGGCGACGAGAGTGCCATCGTGGCTAGCTGCGAGACAAGAAATTTCGTAGCCGTGTCCATACAGCTTCTCGGTTTCCGGCCACAGGGTATGTCTTGAGAGTGTCTCCTCAAAAGGAGGGTGATCGATCTCCAAATGCGACTTTTTGACTATCGAGGCTGGATCCATGGCCTCACGATCCCGGTCGTCGATGGGCTGAATTTCTTGGTCGTCTTCCACGGCATCAATTGCCTTGTTAGATAGTCCCAGGACTGGCATGTTGGCGGCATCTGGCATGTTCTGAACATCCATACCACCACCGATGCCTGCAAGACGGTTGAGCATCGAGGCAACAGCTTTGGGTTCGCTAAAGACACGCATGAGTTTCTCATCTGCCCCTGAGACGAATTGAGAAGTTCCCACAGAGTCAATACAGTTGAGATCATAGCCGTGAATCTGAGGCCGGGACATTTCATGCCATGTCTCATTTCCTGGTCTGTCCCAGCGTGTATGCAGTCGTGTGGTTTGGTCAGAGCTTGTTGACAAGAGATACTCACCATTCTTGGCCCACGTTATACCTGTGACAGCTCTGGTATGCCCAGAAATAGCAACACATGGCTGCCAAAAGTCTTCCGCGGGGACATATTCCCATCGTCTCCAGCTACCAGTACGGCCGAGGCAGGCTACTGATTTACCATCAGGAGACCACAAGCCAGTCCAAAATCCGCCTGTGCTTCCAGTTGCTGTTGTTGCACCCTTCTCTCTGCTAATCTCACCAAGTCTTGCCATGCTGACCCAGATTCCAGAGCCAGAGTCAGCTTCCCAGATGGCGAGCGAGTTATCGGCCGATGTCGAGAGCAGCTGTAGCTTTTCGTTGTCCTGTCGTTGCCAGCGTGCACTGTATATCCAGTCCTCGTGGCCCAAAAGAAGTGCTTCGAAAGTAACAGAGAAGTCCTTGCCGGCGGACTGAAGACGATGTGCCTTGTTGGAGGGTGACTTTCCGGGGAGGTATGCGTCACTGGAAGTGTCTGAACCACTGGCAGCAGCAGCGGGCAGCTCCCTCCCCTGGTGGAATCTCCAGATACGGATGTATTTATCCTGGCTCGCTGAGGCGAGTAACAGATCACTGTCAGGGGCACATGTCTCTTTGGCGAAGCTCAAGCTCCGTATCCAACCCTCATGTCCTGTCAAAGTGGCTTGCACATTGAACTGAACGTTTTCTGACTTAACTTCAGCTGTGAAAATCTGCACTATATCTCTTGTACCAGCGGATGCCAGCACCAAAACATCGTCTTCATCTCCAGCGTAGCTGAGTGATAGGCACATGGGGAAGTATTTGGGTGTTGTCTTGACGCTTTGGAGTAGAGTGAACTGATCATTCTCGAGGTTCCATATTTTTATGGAGGCATCTGCACTTCCAGTTGCGATAATCCATTTCTGGGCCCCCTTAATCCTCAAGGCAGCGATACAGTTGATGGCAGCAGTGTGCTCCGTTGAGGTATGGATGGGCTTGAATTCATCCCTGTTGCGAGATGCTTTCCAGATGATCACGGTCTTGTCGTCTGAGCCAGAAACGAGAAACGAGTTTTCGTCCTGGTCTCCTTCGGAGAGAAACGTCAAGGCCTTGACAGTGCTCTTGTGCCCATTGAGCAGCTTTGTGACTCCCTGGGGAGATTCCGACTTCACATATGTTAGTATCAAGACACCTAGATGGTCTGCCAGAAAGAAGCGCAAATCAGGGTATATTGACATTAAAGCAGCAAGGTGGCTCGAATACTAACCAAAGGTCGCCATAACGCAATGTTAATATCGGCTCCAAAAGCCAAAATCCCACATTGACTCCAGTCTGCAACAGCGGTCTGCCGGTTGGCGCCCGAGGAGAGATATTCGATGGAGACGGGTCTTGAGCCCATTGTTGTCCCTATCTCGCCTTTCGTCGTCTCTGACTGAAGTCGTTATTTTTAGAGGTTGTAAGGATGAGTCTGAAAAGTGTGTGCTTCTTGACTTCTGATTGGCTGTAGAGACGTCCTTCTGAGATTTTTGGACGGTGTTGCTTATGTCATCCGATTTACGCTTGCAGGTGGCTTCAAACACCAACACAAGAAAAGCAAATTAATGTCAAATGCTTCTACCAAAAGTCACGGGCTTATTGTTACAGAGACACCGGTGGCAGCATTCTTCGTCGCGACACGATTATCTCCGTAAGTTCACTCATCTTGTTTTCTCTGCCGAATTGAGTATCTAGCGTTATCATTGTAGAAGGCTAATATATCGTCAGCCTCTTACACCACGCCTCTTGGATACCTTAGACACAGTTTCACTACTGCCAACCACTACCTCGGGACCACCTTTTACCCACTACTGCAAAAGCAAAGTCACGATCAGTTGACAGCAGTAGCATCAGGATCACGCTCCCAGATCGTCACTTGACTTCAACTTGTACATCTCTGTCACAATGGCCGAGTCGACATCGGGCCCCAAGCTCAACATCGACGTCGAGTTCTCGTAAGTCGCTGCTCCCAGATTTTCATCTTGCATGTATTATATGATCTATCAGCTCCCGCTTGCACGGTCTTGACTCAGAATCAGACTCAGACTCGAGCCCACCCCCTTCTGCGCCATCAAATTTTCTCCTGGCGGGAGTGTCCACCTGAACCACGCTTGTGCCTGGATCCTCGCTTCCAGCGAGTCTCTTCTCTGCACTTTCTTCGATCCCTTTGCTTTTTCCTGGCCATTCTGTTCGCTGGGCTAACATTGTGGCACTGCAGTGGCGGCCTGGAGATGCTCTTCTCCAACAAGAGGCAGCATGCTCTGGCCATTCCCGCGGCAGACCCGGACGGGAAACCCGTTGATATTGCGTATCTGATCGGCCATCTATGTCAGAACGTCATGGATGATTCTCGCAAAGATCTTTTTGTTCTAGACAACCACCTGTACGTCTTGGCTACAATGCTCTCTATCTCCGTTCATGTCTTCGTATCGCTATACACACTCCCCTCGACCATGGCCACGGCCGTGTTGGTTTGAACAACACTTCAATTCATCTCCTACCTCATTTGCGTGTCTTTGTCGCTAATAGGGGTGGCAATCAGTCGACCAGGCATCCTGGTTCTGATCAATGATGCCGACTGGGAGCTCGAAGGTGAGGAGGCCTATGAGATCCAGACCGGTGACAATATCTTGTTTGTCTCAACGCTACATGGAGGTTAGATCGCTGCACTCTTCGTCCGCTTTAGGCCTCAAAATATCACCGCAAGTCGGTCAGTGCAGTACCGGTACGGCTTTTATTGAAGAATTTCTACATGCATGCACATATAAACATACAAATCCACGCATTCCTACGTATGCGTACAGAAAACACAACTCCCTTGCATATCGAATTGTTGAGAAACAGGCAAGGGCATGGACATGGTATGCATCGAGCGCATGCGCAGCCAAGTCCACAACAGGCGAGTCTCGGGCTGACTTCACGTTTCGACATGGCGGGACTGATACGCGAATGTTGGTTACTTGCTCCTTTTGGTCTCACTGTCTTGCCTTTGTTGTCTCCCGCCTCGTCTTACCTGTATATCTTGCCACTCCGATGAAACGACCGTCTTATGTGGACAATGAATGGATCACACTCGTCGCTTGCGCGTGTATCTGCGCCTGCACTCCCCGTCTCAGCCAGCCCTGCAACGGCCTTTAGAACCAACGACTCCAGTCTCTGGTCTAGGCGCATCGATCTTAGTCCCAGCAGAAACCCATCTTGCATCTTAAACCACATACACATTACAAGGAACATGCATTGTGTGCACAAGCAGCATCAACGGCTTTGTGGAGGCGAAAAAGGAAAACCCACTTTGGCTTGCATGCCTTGCATCTACAGCCCTTGAGAGTTGAGACCAGCAAAAGCCTCATTTCTTTAAAACTGGGAGGGAAAATGGAATGGCGGACAGTGACACGACGGGCCGTGCCATTGCAACGTTATCTACGGCGGTGAAGGGAAGATCCCACCCAAAGTGCTCTGCCACATGGTTGAGATGCAGAGGTACGAAATGAGGCTTCATGTGCGTATGCACGAGAGTTGATCCATTTTCATGTGCGTTTGCTAGGCTCTTTGGAAGAAGCTGGCCATCCAGGGGAGAGGGAGAGAAGAGAGTAGAGGCGGGGCGGTGAATTTTAGGGGAGGGGGCCTTGTCGATCAAAGCCAGAAAGAGAGGTATGCAGCCCTAATCTACATCAGTCTGCATTTTGTACGCATGCTATGTAGAGCGAGCGTTACTGTAATTGTGAGCTATGGATAAACCATTTGTTGTTTTCTGCAGAAGTTCGAAGTCTTTTGGACGTAGGCAGTAGTCCGAAGAAACCGAGAAACTTCAGGTATGACTTGCAACTCGTTTCAATAGCAAACGGCATATGTATCATCATCACATGAATTCACATGGCATCTTCACCTTTCATATCAGCCCCTACAATATCTCTTGCATGCTGCCAATATGCGTAGTCATACGTCGCCTCACTTAGGTACGGATGTTCTGTTCCTGATGGACATCTCCCCCCCGCCCCCCCAACAGTGAGCAGTGCCTCTTCTCATATGGACAACCCTCAACTGTAAGCGAGCATCATTATCCATACTGTACCTGGGCTCTCATCACTCATCTCCATCTGACCCCCTGACAACTCGATCTCGGCACCAGGATCATCATCCTCCATCGAGGCCTTACAGCTCGGCTCAGCTTTGTCAATTTCTCTCTGATGACTTGGGCAGCATTACAGCCCCCAAGGTTCCTAATCTGGGTCATCCGTGTCTTGGCTTTACTTGTAATCCCCCGCCTTCTTGATCAGTAGCCAGTGACTTAGACTAGAGAGTCCTTTGGAGAATTATGCTATCATGTGCCCCTACAATGCTTGGGTGGCAGATTTCCAAAGCAATCGTCTTTGCCATGCATTGTTTTCCTTGCTAATTTCATGGCTGGCATTGAGATGGTTATGGTTAGAAGGTTATTTTGTTTCGGGCTGGAAAGGTCCAGAAAGACGCGGTAATCATTTGAGCCTACGATGCTAGATGCCAGCAGGCATCTCTATCTCAGCAGTGATGTCCTGCACTGGTTTTTTTGTTTGTTTTCCCTATCAATAGTTGTGTCTTTGATCATAGTGAAAGGCTCCCGAAAGTTCTTCTGAGAATATGTCTGTTAAATTCAAATTATCTACTATCTTGGCGCCGATGTCTCGATTTCGCCCCCCTGTGGCTACTTTCGACCTTTTTTTGCTCCCATTTCATTATTTCAGATGCTGCCATCTAATCTTGAGTCTAATAACTCGAAATTCAGTTTAACAACCCTCGTAAAATGGTCTAATAACCAAGGGTATGTCCTTTCATACAACTCCAAAAAGCAATTGAAGCCAGTGCGTACACTCGCGTATCGACAACCATAAAGCAAAAACGAAGAACTGATGAGGCGAAAGAAACAAGAAAAAAAGACTAGACCTCTCTGGCAGATGAAACCGCCTTTTCCTAGACCGCCGTAAATCATGAACCAAGCCACCCGCTCCCTTACATCCTCTTACAAAGACCGCCAATTAATAGAATGATGAGCTAAGCTGTCCTTAAATGAAGGAAACCGGAGAGGCTTGCGCAAGGCTTGATGCAATTGGTATCAAAATAGCAAAAAGAGAAAGGTAAGGGTGAATCCCCTGCATCATTGTGTTGAGACAACCACCCAAAGAAAATCAACCGCTTCGTTATGGCCTCCAGAAGAGTCCAATTTTTCAACTCCTTTTGAAACACGCGCTTCTGTAAATTCTGCTTTTTTTAATCGAAAATTGAACCGCTGGTATGCCTCCCGTATGGTAGTACTGTTGTAAATTTGGTGAAATGAAATGCGTGACGCTCCCGAGTCATATCCAAGTTGTGCGGTATCTCTGTCTCATGATACCAACCATGAGCTCTCAGTACATGCGTCCATGGTAGCCCATCTCGCGCGTGCTACCGGTCTCATAAAGCATGCTGTTGTTGTTCGGTGGCTGGATGTGGTGATGACCATGCATGTCATAAACCTCATAGCCACCATTGTGAGTCTGGCGAGACATGTGGTTGATGGGAGCGGGGTGGCCTCGAGTCACACTGTAGGAAGCGAGGCTGCCCGATACAGGGAGTCCGTGAGGAGTCACTGGTGTTGAGGCAATTTGAGGAAGGGGATATTGGGGTACAGCTGTCATGGTGTTGGCAGGAGGAGACTGGGACGACTTGGTCTTACGGTCAGCAACCGTGCGGGCTTTTCCTCGACCCTTGATCCCTTTGTTGCTGTTCTTGTAGTGCGTGGCGAAGTACTCAAAAAGCTCGCGATCGGCTTCGGTGACCTCCTCACCCGAGGCGATGATTTTGGCGAACTTCATTGTAAGCTTCTTGAGTGTCTTCTTGTGGAAGTTGTTTTGGTGCGTCTGCCAACGGATTAGAATATCGTCTATTTTGGGGGCTCTTTACACATACCTTCATGTTTCCAAGTTGTGAGAATGTCTTGTTACAATCGTCGAGAATGCAAACAAAGGGCTTAAGGCCTTGGTGAGTCTGTAGGTGGGCTCGAAGGTTGCCGCGTTGAGCAAAGTGGCGATCACACTTGTCGCAAGCAAAGGGGCGTTCGCCAGTGTGACGACGTCTGTGAGTCTTGAGGTTGCCAAGTTGAGAGAAGGTCAGGTCGCAGCCAGGAAAGTCACAGTTCTAAAGGTGTTAGTTGAGCGCAATCAGCCGTGGATGTTTTCACTCACGTATGGCTTGATGCCAGTGTGTGTCCTGCGATGAATGTCGAGATGGGTCTTTTGGGTGAAACTCTTCTGGCAATTGGGGCCATCACAGCGATATCTCTTTCGAGATGTCTTGCTGTCCATAGGGCCTGGTGTTCCTTGACTTTCAAAGCTTGCCTCAGAGACAGGA